CTCTCTCTCTCTCTCTCTCTCTCTCTCTCTCTCTCTCTCTCTCTCTCTCTCTCTCTCTCTCTCTCTCTCTCTCTCTCTCTCTCTCTCTCTCTCTCTCTCTCTCTCTCTCTCTCTCTCTCTCTCTCTCTCTCTCTCTCTCTCTCTCTCTCTCTCTCTCTCTCTCTCTCTCTCTCTCTCTCTCTCTCTCTCTCTCTCTCTCTCTCTCTATATATATATATATATATTGTATATAGTGATGATATCATGGTTTTGTATCATGATTGAAACATTTGTCTGACTCAACCGGTCGTTTCATTTTGTATCTAGCTCTCGGCTTGCCGATTGAGCACTGTAAGCAGACGACGCCACCCACAATTATATATATATATATATAGAGGAGCCAGCTGTAGAAGATCCAGGCCACGCCTCTCCAGACACAGCTGAGGATTCTGATTCTGGAGGTTGCTTCCCTTGTGCTAAGAAATGTGATCTCTGCAAAAACTTCCTGAAACCATCAACCACAATCGGCAGTTTCCACACCAACCAAGTATTCAGTATCAAAGGACGATTGGACTGTGATACCAAAAATGTTGTGTACATAGTTAATGATAATATTTGTAAGTTAAGTTATATAGGATGTACTTCAGACTCTTTAAAGGTTAGATTTAGGAACCATAAATCCCACATTAAAACTCAAAGAAGGACATGTGAACTTTCCTGCCATTTTATAGATAATGAGATTTTGCACAATCTGGACCGTACAACCACTAAGTTGTTTACCAGTACTTTAAGTAAGGACATTAATGTTTCTATTATAGAGCAAGTTGACGTTGGGAATTTTGAGCAATGTGCCCAGGATAGACTAAGTATTTGTAAACAAAGGGAGAACTTTTGGCAAAACCAGCTTAAAACTTTAAAGCACTTTGGAGGGATGAACGTTAGAGAAGAAAGATGATTTTCTTCTTGCATATTCTATTTTCTCACCTCTACCACTCATTTGGGATTTCAACCCACCATAACTTGAATTGCTGAGTTACAAAAATTTCTAAATTTTAAATTTCTTTTATTTGATTGATTGATGGATTGATATTTTGAATAAATTTACTAACATGTCTTTATATCAGGATGACTGTAAAGGTACATTTTACCGACATTTGAAGTCAAGGCGTTGTTTTACTGATAGTTGTGGCTAACTAATAATATATATATATATATATATATTTCGTTGCTGTACTCCTACACATTAAAAGTCGGTGTCCCTCTCCCTCTCTCTCTCTCTAACATTGACTCACTCCGCAATAGTATGTGTCTGAAGGTCCGGCATGGGACTTATCATCTGCTCCTCTGGAGGCAGGTCAGTGTTCTGCTTGTACTGATGATCCCCCAGTGCACGTGACAAGTTCAGACCACCGTTTACACGACCATCCTTCGTTATCTTCCCTCCTGCTTTCTCAACCCGGGTCTTCTCAATCTCACTCTCTGGTTTGTGGTCCTCGGACAAGTCCACTGCAACTCCGTCCTTGGTACACACTACACACCTCGAGTCACCTGTGTAAAATTAACCGTGATTATATCAGGCAATTATCGGGCAATTATTAGGCAATTATCGGGCAATTATCAGGCAATTATCGGGCAATTAAGACCACTAAACTGAGTAAATTTTAAGGAGGTGAGATTGTAAGAGTGAAATTTCAACGGGAAGGGAAGTGATCAACTTACCAACGTTAGCTACAGTAATAACCCCTTCCTGGATAACGGCTACACAAGCGGTAGTGCCACTTCCGTACCCCTCTCTCTCATCAAACTCTGGGGGAACGTCATCATCGTCACTATCCTCTTCTGATGACCCCTCCTCTGACCCCTCTTCGTCCTGGAGAACATTATAAATATTACAAGGCTTGTTTATTCAATATCCACATAATACTAACTAGAGTATTGCCACATTTGTTGATATTTCAGGATTATGATCGGTTAACATCATCGAACTAACCGAATCGTCCTCGTCAGTCATTTCTGCCTCTTCCTCTTCCTCTTCATCAGATTCCTCTTCACCCTCACCATTCTTACTCTCGTCCCCATTTGCTGAAAATGGAGCAAGTCGTGTGAGAAAATCACCTTATTCAAATAAAATCACCTTATTCCAGTAAAATCGAACAAGTCAGCTCAGGAAAGGTAAAATGTTAGTTTTCAGGCGGCAAATCCTGCTCCTTGATGTTGGATCTTTCTGTTTGATATCTACTAACCAGTCGTCTCGTCCGCGCCGTTTTTCTTTGAAGGGGAACTACTTTCAGATTCTGAATCTTTCTGAAATGTTTAAGGTTAGCGAATTAATTCAAAAGACGCACTGTAGCTGTACTGTATTCGTGGTACAAAGGGGATGATACATAGTTTATCAATATCAGTATATTATCATACGTCAACAGAAAAATAACATCTTGAATACGCACTCCGTTTTTGACGATTTCCTTCCCATTTGCAGCTGATCCAGCGCTTGCAGGCTCTCCACCGCCTTGTAAGATATCAGGAACTTCCACCTTAGCCTTCTTTCCTTTCCCGGATCCTTCAAAGTTGCCTTCTTTCTCCGCCATTTCTTCTTCCATGCACTCTTTGACTGGAAATAAGCCGTTTAGAAATCACAATTGGCAATTTACATCAGAAAGGTCGGTACAGTGAGCGTTCTGGAATTTTAGAACCTTTATTTTTGTGCTTTCAACACACTGATTCGGGTGCATTTCATGCCGTTCAACTAGAAGCATAAATTAAATACTAACATTTTTGTTTGTATTTGGCGAGCAGGTCCACAAGTGGCAGCTGGGCCTCTTCGTTCAGCTCCTCACATTCTTTGATCTTATCTTCCATTCCTTCTTCATCTTCATCGTCTCCTTTAGTACCTTAGATACAACAAAAGATGAAAGTAATTGACTCGTTTGTAGTTTTCTACGCAGTACTAATCAGATTCACGTTAGACACAAATTGGGGGGGGGGGGGGGGGGGGCTGACCATAATATTGAAGTACATTAAAATGTAGGTTTTTTCCCGATTTAGGGCAGGGGATATACTTTAATATACTCTAATATACTTAAATTTATCCCTATCTTTTTACCTAAAACAAAAATCGCTGCACACAATATGCTTGAAATGCAAATCTTAATCGATTCCGAAAATTTCATACAGAAATATTGAAAACTTATGGAGTTATTTTAATTTTAATGAAGTCATTAAATTGGCTAGTATCCCGAACCGAGATATTACATGTGCAATTTTGTTCATGGAGGTCTTTTTACTTAGTATCCACTATTCAACAGATATTGAGCTATATTTTTCACACAAAGTTAGTCTCATTCAAAAATATTGAAATTTGATCGAATTTTGGGTAAAAGCTTTCAAATTTGTTGCGTATGCCCAAATATGGGCATATGGTTTGAAGCTCATAACTCATCCATTTTTTGACCAAACTGGATGTAAATTCATGTACTAGTCCAAAAACAGGCTTATCTTGCAAATCTAAATGAAGAATATAGCTAGACTAATTTTGGGTATATTAAAGTATATTAAAATGTAGGTTTTTTCCCCGATTTAGGGCCGGGGATATACTTTGATATAATTAAATATGGTCAGCCCCCTCCGGCCCTCCCCTCCCCAAATAAAAAGTAGAATTGTCAAAAATGATGACAGTTCACCAATATAACCAAACTACGAGAATTAACAAGTAACAATGCGTATAATTCCACTGACCTGCCAGCGTCTGCAATTCATCAGCCGTTTCCTCCAACACAATCTGCTTATCAACAGCCAGGAAAGTTGTTTTCAGAGCTTGCTCGATCTTGCCATCAGTAAAATCGTACTGTGTTTTAAGGAGCATTGGAAGGTATTTAGCGACGTAGAGAGCCACCTCGCCTCCACCGTGGCCATCGTATACGGCAAACAGTGCCGAATTGTCTGTCAGGTCAGGAACACAGCTCATTGCATCCTGGAGATGATTTATTTAGAGCGATGATGTGATCTGTTTAGCAGTCAAAGGGGAATCTCGCTGAATGTCAAAGCGCCACGAATTACGAAATTGTGTCAAAGTTGATGAGAAGTGTGCTCACTCACATGCACGAGGGAAGACACTGCAGAAGATTACTATATTTTCAACCTGATTAAATGACAATAACTTCTTGTTCACTGTTCAGTACCAATATCTAGAAAAGCGGATACCTATATTCTATAAGCCCATTTTGTAATTGTGGCCGGTGCCGCCAACGTACGCGCAAATATTACATTTTCGCGCGCTCGCGTCTTAATTGAACACGAAGCGCGGACGATATTGAATTTATGTCGACCGCGTCTGCAGTAATGGCAAAGACAGAAGACGTTTCCCTGAATTTTGTAGTGGATTTTGTAGTGGATTTTGCGCGCCGAACGTACGTTACAATATTTATCATTGTAGAATCTACGACGGTAGAAGTCAGAAGTCTCAATAAACTGCTCGTACTTATACATTTATAGAAACTTATAAGATATGAAAATCTAAGTAACACATCCACCCCAGTCAGGCCACCCATCCCAAATAGCTTGAAATCTGTGACAAATCCCTGAAAATCCAGAATGAGAATCTTGACCCCTGAGGGGATTTGTGTTGCTGAGTATTTGAAACATGTTTGGTGGGTAAATAGGTAGTACATATCCCTAACCATCACAAAGACCAAGCTCTTGAACCACTCAAGCCACTCCCAGAGGCCATGCCAATCCCAAAATTACCGAAATCCAGCTAAAATCCAGACTTTAAAATCTTTACCCCTGTAGTGCTTTTATGTTCCGGGGTAGGTGGGACCTGTTTTAGTTTTAAAATGGGTTCTACCTGTCCCAAACCATCATAAAAATCAAGTTTCGACCTCTCAACCCACTCAGGCCACTCCCAGGGGCCACGCCCATCCCAAAATTACCGAAATCTAGCTAAATCCAGACTTTAAAATCTTTACCCCTGTAGTGCTTTTATGTTCCGGGGTAGGTGGGACATGTTTTAGTTTAAAAATGGGTTCTACCTGTCCCAAACCATCATAAAAATCAAGTTTCGACCTCTCAACCCACTCAGGCCAATCCCAGGGGCCACGCCCATCCCAAAATTACCGAAATCCAGCTAAAATCCAGACTTTAAAATCTTTACCCCTGTAGTGCTTTTATGTTCCGGGGTAGGTGGGACATGTTTTAGTTTTAAAATGGGTTCTACCTGTCCCAAACCATCATAAAAATCAAGTTTCGACCTCTCAACCCACTCAGGCCACTCCCAGGGGCCACGCCCATTCCAAAATTACCGAAATCCAGCTAAAATCCAGACTTTAAAATCTTTACCCCTGTAGTGCTTTTATGTTCCGGGGTAGGTGGGACCTGTTTTAGTTTTAAAATGGGTTCTACCTGTCCCAAACCATCATAAAAATCAAGTTTCGACCTCTCAACCCACTCAGGCCACTCCCAGGGGCCACACATATCCCAAAATTACCGAAATCCAGCTAAAATCCAGACTTTAAAATCTTTACCCCTGTAGTGCTTTTATGTTCCGGGGTAGGTGGGACATGTTTTAGTTTAAAAATGGGTTCTACCTGTCCCAAACCATCATAAAAATCAAGTTTCGACCTCTCAACCCACTCAGGCCACTCCCAGGGGCCACGCCCATCCCAAAATTACCGAAATCTAGCTAAAATCCAGACTTTAAAATCTTTACCCCTGTAGTGCTTTTATGTTCCGGGGTAGGTGGGACATGTTTTAGTTTAAAAATGGGTTCTACCTGTCCCAAACCATCATAAAAATCAAGTTTCGACCTCTCAACCCACTCAGGCCACTCCCAGGGGCCACGCCCATCCCAAAATTACCGAAATCTAGCTAAAATCCAGACTTTAAAATCTTTACCCCTGTAGTGCTTTTATGTTCCGGGGTAGGTGGGACATGTCTTAGTTTAGAAATGGGTTCTACCTGTCCCAAACCATCATAAAAATCAAGTTTCGACCTCTCAACCCACTCAGGCCACTCCTAGGGGCCACGCCCATCCCGAAATTACCGAAATCCAGCTAAATCCAGACTTTAAAATCTTTACCCCTGTAGTGCTTTTATGTTCCGGGGTAGGTGGGACATGTTTTAGTTTTAAAATGGGTTCTACCTGTCCCAAACCATCATAAAAATCAAGTTTCGACCTCTCAACCCACTCGGGCCACTCCCAGGCGCCACGCCCATCCCAAAATTACCGAAATCCAGCTAAAATCCAGACTTTAAAATCTTTACCCCTGAAGTGCTTTTATGTTCCGGGGTAGGTGGGACATGTTTTAGTTTAAAAATTGGTTCTACCTGTCACAAACCATCATAAAAATCAAGTTTCGACCTCTCAACCCACTCACATCCACAACCTTCCGAATGTAGGTACGGACTTCAAAAAACCGAAAAATATACAAAAGTCAAAAGTCAGTGGGCATACGTTGGCCTTAATAGCTCCGCTGTGTTTTACATTTGAGAGCTGTTACTTTGCAGATGGCATACTGTTCTTACTGGTTCGAGGATTCTGTCGTAAATATTTGAAAATTCGAATATTTTAGACCACGCCCATTCGATATTAAAACACCTATTATATTGTTTTCTCTGAACATGCTGAACGCCTATTTTTTTTCAGAGACGGTAGATTATTAAATGTTGCATATGATCCGAAAACATGAGGCAAAACGGATTAGAAATGAAAAAGTTATCAAGCATTTTCTGTATCTCGTTAACAACATTGACTGGGTGATTATGTAACACCGTGACACGACACCTTAATTGGGCACCCTTAACAATTCCCATAATGTTTAACGGAGTAGTTAACGGGGTCACCTAATCACGTGATTAGGTAAACCAATCACCTGATCACACGTAATGAATAAACTCGTTATGCTTCATATCTCTGTCATCTGAGGAGCAGTTCTAATTTTTTTTTCAGGACAAACGTAATTTGAATGGCCAAACACAATTCAACAAAATTTAGCTCGATTCGACTATCCAAACTATCAAATAAATGCAAAAATGAACCTTCATCCGAAAAAAAATAACTAAAATATTTATCGATTTGACAAATTCCTCGAACCAGTGGTAGTAGTAAGTCATAGGTACCAGAAAGAATTATTACAATTGGGCACTCAGTGACTAAGCTATTAAGGCCAACGTATGCCCACTGACTTTTGGGCCACCCTGTATTTTCGGCTCAGAATGATCAGGGTAGCATGAAACATGAACAAAAGTAGTTTCCAGAAAAACTTTGAAAAATTTTGACTTAGAAAATTTTCAGTCCGAGTCATTCTCGATACGTACCTCTGAAAGCAGAGCTCCCGCTTCCGAGCTCGTATTGCGAAGGGGAGGCCTGCCTTCCGAGATCGCATTACAATGGGGAACCATCGAGTCCAAAATCGTATATCGAACTTCGAAAACCGAAAAAAATATTTTCGGCTCAGAATGATCAGGGTAACATGAAACATGAACAAAAGTAGTTTCCAGAAAAACCTTGAAAAATGTTGACTTAGGAAATTTTCGGTCCGAGTCATTCTCGATACGTACCTCTAAAAGCAGAGCTCCCGCTTGCAAGCTCGTATAATTGCGAAGGGGAGGCCTGCCTTCCGAGATCGCATTACAAAGGGGACCCTCGAGTCCAAAATCGTATATTTTCCGAAAGGGTAGGTGCGGACTTCGAAAACCGAAAAAAATATTTTTGGCTCATAGTGATCAGGGTAGCATGAAACATGAACAAAAGCAGTTTCCAGAAAAACTTTGAAAAATTTTGACTTAGAAAATGTTCGGTCCGAGTCATTCTCGATACGTACCTCTGAAAGCAGAGCTCCCGCTTCCGAGCTCGTATTGCGAAGGGGAGGCCTGCCTTCCAAGAGCGCATTACAAAGGGGAACCCTCGAGCCGAAAATATTTTTTTCGGTTTTCGAAGTCCGCACCTACCCTTCGATATACGATTTTGAACTCAAGTCAAAAATTTTCAAAGTTTTTCTGGAAACTACTTTTGTTCATGTTTCATGTTACCCTGATCATTCTGAGCCGAAAATATTTTTTTCGGTTTTCGAAGTTCGATATAAGATTTTGGACTCGAGGGTTCCCCATTGTAATGCGATCTCGGAAGGCAGGCCTCCCCTTCGCAATACGAGCTCGGAAGCGGGAGCTCTGCTACCAGAGGTACGTATCGAACCGTATCGAGAATGACTCAGACTGAAAATTTCCTAAGTCAAAATTTTTCAAGGTTTTTCTGGAAACTACTTTTGTTCATGTTTCATGTTACCCTGATCATTCTGAGCCGAAAATATTTTTTTCGGTTTTCGAAGTTCGATATACGATTTTGGACTCGATGGTTCCCCATTGTAATGCGATCTCGGAAGGCAGGCCTCCCCTTCGCAATACGAGCTCGGAAGCGGGAGCTCTGCTTTCAGAGGTACGTATCGAGAATGACTCGGACTGAAAATTTTTTAAGTCAAAATTTTTCAAAGTTTTTCTGGAAACTACTTTTGTTCATGTTTCATGCTAGTTGCTACCCTGATCACTACTTTTATTCTTGTTTCATGTTACCCTAATCATTATGAGCCAAAATATTTTTTTCGGTTTTTTGAAGTCCGTACCTACATTCGGAAGGTTGTGGATGTGAGTGGGTTGAGAGGTCGAAACTTGATTTTTATGATGGTTTGGGACAGGCAGAACCCATTTTTAAACTAAAACATGTCCCACCTACCCCGGAACATAAAAGCACTACAGGGGTAAAGATTTTAAAGTCTGGATTTAGCTGGATTTCGGTCATTTTGGGATGGGCGTGGCCCCTGGGAGTGGCCCGAGTGGGTTGAGAGGTCGAAACTTGATTTTTATGATGGTTTGGGACAGGCAGAACCCATTTTTAAACTAAAACATGTCCCACCTACCCCGGAACATAAAAGCACTACAGGGGTAAAGATTTTAAAGTCTGGATTTAGCTGGATTTCGGTC